GACCCAAATGAACTTTGTTGGATTTTCTACCTGGATTTCTGAGCATGAACTTTTGATGTTTTGAACCATTGTGGGTGTGGCTGCCCCAGAGGAGTCGAGGGGGGAGAAGGCGAGTCCAAACCATTTTATCACCATCAAACTGGTTGGTTCACAATGGGAGTGTGCTGCTTGTGGGACTCAGTTTGTTTGTGGCTCCTTGGACTGATGAAGTGCTTTGGATGAAACATCTAAAAAAAAAAAAAAAGATACTGTTCAGATGACCTGACTGAAATTTTTGTTGAATAATAATCATAATAATAATAAATAGCTAAAACAAACACCCCCTCCCCCCTCTCCCAGCAAAACAAAAACTCAAAAGTATAATTTATAAGTCCTGGTTTGAGTCACTTCCTGCTTTCTCTCTCTTTTTTTTTTTTTTTTAAATACAAAAGTAAGTAATTTTCTTTCGGCTGCTCCTTCCTTGAGAGGGAGCAAGCTAACACCGGATGTGACCGGGGCTCGAACCCGCAACCTCAGAATTATAAAACTTTTTTTTTTTTTTTTTAAGTTTTATCAACATTACTGCCAGGGGTATATTAACATGTACAAAGGTAATAGTATTCAAATATAAAAAAAGAATATGACAAGTATAAAAAGGTACAAAAGTCTAAAAACAATCTATTTACATGTTATAAAGATAAATTCACATTAAGGTTTTCCAGAACTGAGATGGTTTTATTGCCTTTTTGTTTAAGACCGACACTGACCACCAACAAGATACCGCAGCCATTTTCTTTGTTTTTCTTTCCATTGTAAAAATACAGGTTTGTTTGAGAGACACGTGTGGGGGCGGGGCTTGTGGTGGAACTGGGAGCGCTGGCTCCTTCCTCGAGAAGGGGGTCTCTGCAGACCAAAAGTGGGCGTTTCTGGCGAATAGGCGTTTATGGGCGGCGAACACTGATTGGCTAACAGTATTTAATAGGCGTTTGTCGGCGGCGAACACTGATTGGCTGTGGGTAACCCTCAAAGTCACGAGTCATTGATGAGGTAACGTTTCTTTGCGATATTTGACAAAGAAATATGGTTTATTGTACTTATAAAGTATGTTATGTTTTCACTTATGCATTTTATTGAAGTACGTTTATTGTAGGTCACGATAGTTTCGACCGTTCTCTCGTTGTTGTCGTAACACACTGAGGTAAAGTGAGCCTCCACTCGGCTCCTTTTCAAAATAAAAGCTGAAAATAAAAGTTCTTAATACTTGAAAAATAAATATTTAAAAGCTGTGTATAACTGAAAAATATGAAAAAAAATAAAAAAATAAAAGTTGTTATTAATTGATTGATTGATTGATTGATTTTTATTGTCAATTCTGCATATGTACAGGACATACATAGAAATTGAAATTGCGTTACACTCCTACTCAAATTGCAGCAAACAACAACATTAGCAAAAATAAACTAACACAACTAGTTATATAAAAAAATATAAAAAAATATAAAAGTGAACAGCAGCAGGACCTCTGATGCAACGTGCTCAATAGTGACTAACAGGAGACAAAGGGACGCTGACTGAAGACAATAACATGATGAGAGGTAGATAATGGATGTGCAAGGCCAGAGTAAACAATAGTGCAATATAAAGTATAAACCTGAGAAACTTAGTAAAGTGAAGGTGTGCATACCGGTTCTATATAGAGTCACAGTTATGTACTGATGAGGTGATTAAGTGGAAATGACAATACCAGAATTACCAGAATAAAGAATAAACAGGACGAAGCTGAAAAATAAATAAATAAAAGCTGTTAATTATATCTATGTCTTTCTGCCATGTCAGGGACCACTCTCACTTCAGACTGACTCTAGAAGACCCCAAGATGTTGCCCAACAATGTTGACCAACATCTGATGTTGACTTTCATTACTCAATAATGAGTAATAACTTATTCAATAAAAAGTCTGTAATTTGTCAATAATAGTCAATAATTCATTCAAGAATAGATTATGGGTGTTTGGTATGGCTCAGTGGCTAAAATGGGTTGGATGTTAGAGAAATTACTTAATTTTCAATTACCTGATGCACAAATTCCTTCATTTATAGTTAAACTTTAGGAAATCAACTTTTTTTTTCTTGTGAAAAAAATATCAAAATTAACTTTAAAATCCAATCCAGGATTAAGTAACAACTAGCAACACCCTAACTGTACTATGTTCTGTGTTTCCAACAGATGCTACGATGACTTCTAAAAATGGATGTCCCAATAAACACAATAAAAAAAATTTCAATGATGCATCAAATGTTGTCTGAGTATGTTTTAAGGTAATAACAAATGTGAAATCTGGAAAACAAAGAGAATTCCTGAATCTGTCTTGTGTGCTTTGATGTGTACATAAGTTTATTGGAGGTCCTGAAACAACTTTTCTGAGAACACAAAGATTTTTATTTTACCTTTGGCCAAGATGTCAGTTTGAAATCAGGCTGCTTACTGCAAAACCAAGAGGTTTTTTAAGACGGTCTTCATTTGTATTGTTTTGTCGACTAAGCTAAATGTAATTTCTAAAATATGGATAAATCTGATCTCATCATGCAGCATGAGCAACTGGGTACAGGTGTCAGGGCCAAAAGTCTGGTTATGTACTGACTCCTAAATGTGCTGGTTTTCTACTGAAACATGGAGTAGGGTTGACCTTTAAATAGTGAGACAGCTGAGGAAGTTAACCAGTAAACAGAAATACCTGCTCCAGGTGCAGAAATCTTACAGAAACTGACAAATCACTCATCTGTAGTGACTGCAGGTTGAACAAGACAATGTGAAGTTAAAGGAAACATTCTTTGTCCCAAGGCCAGTTTAAGTATCATTAATATTTTTCTTTCTTTATGAATCGATTGTAACTTTGTTCACATTTTTCAACAACCAAAATGGAATTTGTTTTTTTAATGTTATGGCTAGGTATTAAAAAAAACCCTAACATTTAGCTCTCCCCACTACCCAGTTATGTTGCTCTTATTTTGAAATGTAACCGGAAGTTCGGTGTTAAGAGAGTCGAAAAAAGAAGTTATGGAGACGCCGCCGCGGCAGTATACTGGAGCGATGTCGAACCGAGACGCCGCTAATGTCGAACCGGTTAACACCATAGACATAATATGCCTGTGGTTAACACAATCTGCCAATAACGCCTTGTTTTTAGACATCATGTGTCTGTGGTTACGGCATTTTATCGTTCAGCCTTTTTTTTTTCTATCGTCCAATCAGATGTGGCCGTCCAGACACGCCCATTTTTCTATCGTCCAATCAGATGTGGCCGTCCAGAAACGCCCATTTTCCTATCGTCCAATCAGATATGACCGCCCAGATACGCCCACTTTCCTATAGTCCAATCAGATATGAGCGCCCAGATACGCCTTCCGAATTTGCCTGCAGAGACCCCTTCTTGCCTTCCTCACTCTGAGGTGAACCAGGGAGGAGTTTAGACCAGGAGCAGTCGAGTCCAGTGGACCCAGTCTATACAGCACAGGACTGAAGTGGGACAGACCGTGCTGAACTGGACTAAACTGGGATATTTGCTCCTGGGAGGACAGCTGAGCGTGTTTCTGTGGTTTGAAACGTCACTGCTGACAGTCCGAGGATCCGTCCGACACAGACTCCCGCGGTAAGAAGCTCAAATTCATCTGTAGGTCCATAGATATATAAATCTATATTTAGATTAGAGGGGGTGACGGGGTCAGGCTACGTCATTTAAAAGTTACAGAAGTGGAAACTAGTCTGGAGCTTTCTGTTAGTCTGTAAACATAAAAGACAGATATAATCCCTCCCCCCTCTCTGTAATCATAATTCACTTTGGCAACCAGATCCTGGTTTCATAATCTGACTGGAGTTATGAGAACAATCTGCCACATATTGCTGCTGTTATTGCTCACAAAGTGATTAAAGTCTGAGGCTCAGACTGACCTGATTTATACACACACTGTGTGTGTGTCTCACCAGGTGCTGTTACCTGCAGAAGTTGTTAATCTATGAACACACACACACACACACACACACACGCACGCACACACACACACACACACACACACACACACACACACACACACACACACACACACCAGTCAGTGTTATTAACCATACCATACCAATTTATTTATATAGCACTTAAAACAGCAACAAGGCCAACCAATCACATGGAATTTAGTCTGAGCTGGAGCAACATTTATCAATCCGTTGACTAAATTAAGACATAGTATATGGAATAATCTGGTCATCGACATTTGCACGTTGCATGGAAAATAAAAAACATGTAATTGTTTTATGTTTAAACAGAGAAGTTCTCAGGTTTCAGCTTCCCAGTCAGTTTTATTCCTGTTGCATCATCATGGAACAAAACATGAATGTGGACCAGTCAACCAAAGCCCTAATGACCCTTAGGAGAGAGGAGAAGGACAGTGATTTGCGTGTGAGTTTAGCTTTTTCCAAAAGCAATTGAATAAAATCAGTTCACTAAAAAGTTTGGAGCTTCACACTTTCCTGGCTGAAATAAAGGTCTATGTCTTAAATGAAGGCACTGTCTTCATGCCAAAGTTTAAACTAAGCTCGTCTTATGAAATTATGAAGTCGTAGCCATTGCGGTGCGACCATGGTGTGGCCATCTTGAATTAGATGGACCCCAAAAGTTTGCCGATGTATAAACTATTCAATGAATTCTCCCTTAAAGTTATATACACAGCGATTCATTATACATTTTGATAAGAAACAACGCTAACGCCAACAATTCATGCAATGTTTCAATAATAGATGTTACACAATGTGTTATGCTCAACATATATTTTGGTGACAAATTCATCTACTACCACACCGAAGTTTAGCTCAGTATTTGAAGAACTGGATACGTTGCAGCCATTTTGGGTGTTTCCTACGACCTGTTGACTGTGGCATCTATTTTGAATCGTGTTGAGGTTAAAAGGCAAGATGTTGTGGTTGTATGTCCATTGGTTACTTTCTGGAAGTTTCATTAATCCGTTTAGTGGTTCATGAGATATTTTGCTAACAGACAGAAAGAGTTGATCCCAACAGTCAATGGCTAAGTATTCTAAACACAAATCTTGCAAGGGTCACGGCAACACCAGTATCTAGCTCAGGACCTGTTAAATTGACTGTTATAGCCATTCTGTGATTGCTGAAGTAGATTACCTATGGCGGCCATCTTGAGTCAAGTTGACTCAAGATGCTCCGTCAGTTGTAGACAAAGGTACAAATTTGTGTACAGACTAGGGATGCACCGATCCACTTTTTTTACTTCCGATCCGATCCCGATACCTATATCTGAGTATCGGCTGATACCGATCCAGTTCCGATATCATGATCATCATTGATTTTATATGAGGCTGTAATAATCTCCTCTCAAGTACAATTTGTACAAATCTATGCATGCATGTCCAAAAAGGCAACTTGAGGTAAGTTTTATTAATGTTGGATAAGTTTTCAAGTTAGAATTAAATTCTGCTAAGACAAAACATGTTTCTTTTTATTCCTAGTTTTAAAGTGGATATTAAAGTGATTAATTTAAGTGATTGTTTAAAGTTGTTTTATATTTTATAAGGGGCAGATATAAGAATTTTTTCTTCTTTCTGAACTCTTTTCATTCAATGTTTTCTTTTTAATGATTTATTTTATTTTATTTTGTTTCATTTAAATGAATGAATAAATGAATTAAATTAAATTAAATGTTAAATGGCTTCAAACACCTGCTAAGTTCATGGCATAAACCAACAGACATGTTCCTGTTTTTAGTATTTTACATCACTTTATAATGTAGCTGTTTTTGTTTTTAATATAATTTTCAAATCACATGTTTTTTTATGTTTGTCTACTGTTGTACTGATAAATATCTCCTGGAGGTTAAACTATATCTTGGCTGCAAGTATCAAGCTGTGAAATCCTTCGTTTTCTACAACTGATAGTGGTTGGTCATTAATTATGATGAAGTTTAGCAACTTCTCTGTAAACATTTGAGCTCCGTGGCTTCAGCGACGTCTTCTTCTTATTCAATCCGAAACAGGCAGCCTGATTTGGGGCAGCCACGCTCAGTCTGTCCCTCCTCGGAGACGGGCAGACTGAGCGGGTCAGATTGGACACGGCTGGCCGGTGTCGAGTCGCCTCTTTCGGTTGAGCAAAGAGCAGCTCCCCGCTGAAGCCACGGAGCTCGAATGTCCATTGTAAAACTAACTTTAACGTGGTTTAATGTGGCGCTATGTCTCTGCAGACATTGCACGTTGCTGTCTTGTTTTGTGGCGTTTAGTGTAAAATATTTCCACACAGCAAACATGTTCAGATGAAGAGTTGGTTAGCTGTTAGCCACAGTGCTGCTAACTCAGTCTTCACGTTGTAGCTGGCTGCAAACTATGAACTGGATTTCCTGAATGTGAGGCGGGTCTTATTACTCTGGGCTCATGAGACACGCCGCCGTTCAGGAAATCCATTCCATAGTTTGAAGCCAACATGCATCATGGATCGGAAATATCGGAAGGTGGATCGGAAAATCCGATACGTAAATTATGCTGGTATCGGAGGCCGATACCGATACTGGATCAGATCGGCCCCATCCCTAGTACAGACCAACAATCCAGACACATTGGAATTCTCATGCAAAGCTCTCGCATTCATTCATTCAACCTTTATTTATACAGGTTAATCCCACTGGGCCTCGGGGACTCATTTACGAGAGACCTTTTAACAAAGAGTGATGACAACAGTGGAGGTCAAAACACCGAAACAACATTAAATAAATAAAGATAAGAACAAAGTGGTTCTTATCTACACTGTACAGAAAGTAAACCATGTCACATGACCAGTGAAGTTAGGTAATGTAGGGTTATTATTGCACCTGATCAGTAGTTTTGTTTTGCCATCAGTCTGACTATGGCAGGGGAAAAAAACAATTAAAAAAACGTGTGCTATGGGGTGATGATGCTATCCACTCTACTGTGTCTCAGGTTATATGAACATTTTATGTCTGATAAGAGAGTGAGCTGGACGGAACGAGCCCTTGATGATACTTGCTGCTCTTTTTCTACAGCGCTGTCCATACATCGAGTCCATGGAAAGAAGTTTTGTCCCTGTAATCCTCTCTGCAGTCTTTATGACTCTTTGCAGTGCCTTTCTTTCTGCTTGTGTTGTGTTCTCATACCAGGCGGTGATGCCTGTGGTTAGGATACTCTATCAGCAAAGCCTGAGTGAGAGGGTGCTGGTTCAGACCCACTTTCCTGATCAGTGTAATGAAGTACAGTAAAGCCTTTGCTGGGCTTTTTCCACCATGGCTGTTGGGTTGTCTACCATCGTCCTGGACCCTGACTCATTCCCCTCGTGGATGAGCCCCATTAAAGTGGTGTCATCAACATATTTAATAATGATGGTGTTGTGCTGGGTGGAGACACAGTCATTGTACAGGGTAAAGAGTTTAGGGTTGAGGCAACAGCCCGGCGGGGATCCTGTGCTGACTGTGAGTTCATCAGACACCCGTCCTCCCATTCTCACCACCTGTGGTCTATCTGTCAGGAAGTCCAGGATTCAGTTACAGGTGGGAGTCGGGACACGGAGGTTTGTCAGCTTCTCTATCACTTTGCCTGTGCGGATGGTATTGAAAGCCAAACTGTATACCAGGAAGAGTATTCTGGCATATGTTCTGCTGCTTTCCATGTGTTGCAGAGTGTGGTGTAGGGCTATTAATACCGCATCACCCACTGGTCAATTAGGGCAGTAGGCCAACTGGTGGGATCTGGTCTACAGTATCCGGGACCATGCAGTTGATGTACTCAAGAAACAGATTTTGTAGGCACTTCATAGTGACAGATGTTAGTGCCACTGGCCTGAAATTGTTAAGGGTCAATGTTTCTAGACATTTGGGAACTGGTATGATGATGCTGGATTTGAAAATATGTTGGACTACTGCCTACGATAATGATAATAAAGTTGTAGACATACATCAAACTATTTCTTTTTAAAAGTTTCTTTACAATCTGTTCAGTGGTTGAGGAGTTATTTTACTGATGATGCAGACAAATAAACCCGTGCCTCATGTTAAGGCCTATGTGCTATCCTTTTTAGTGTGGTGGAAACAACAAGTTTCCTCTTTGAAATAATGTAAAACAATTAAGATATTTGTTTCAGTTGTATATATTTAGCATAATATCACAACCCAGATATTTAGTTTTATGTTATTTAAAGCTCTTTTCGTATCCTCATACCATTACGTTATTGGTGATTTAGAAAAGTTAATGAAGAAAAGCCCACATATTTATTGTCAGTTGATGTGTTCGTTACCTACTCAGACTGATGCTGGATGGGTGTAAGTAAAACTGTCTTGAGACCCACGTTTCCAGAAATCTTCCTAAATCCTTAGCTTTTCACCATCTTTCAGTTGTTGTTTTTCCCTCTGAGAATCCCAGTGTGTGTATACAGTGTTGGCTGCTGACATCATCTGTACTGTAGTTGCTCATTGGCATGGTGGGCCTGCAGCCTGTCCTTTCACTACAATAGGGCCACTGTCAGTGATAAGGCTGTTTTTGTGCAGGTATATCCTATCACTGCTTCCCCTGGAGCCTGTTTGCATAATTTCACCTGCTGATAAAACAGCCGTGTTTGCATGTCGAGCACAGCAAGAGATAAGTCAGGTCTGTGAAGTCAGAAGATGTTTGTCGGAGAGAGAAAAGCAAACTGCGGCACATAGCTAATTTACAGACAGCCTATTTAAAAATATTCATATTTGAGAGGAAAATATATCTCTGTTCTATGTTTTTTGAAAAATGTTCTGGTACTAAGATTGGACTAAAGCTAAACTTAAAAGAAAACATTTCAAAGACCTTCAGAAATCCCAGAAGCACTAAAATTAAGTCTAGACAGTATTTTTTTTTTTTTGTGCCTGTGCTTATTTGTCTGTGTCTGTTAGCAAATTGTCTTGTGAACCACTGGACAGATTTTAATGAAATGCCCAGAAGGTAATCATTGCTACCTGACCTTAGCAAACACAAAACTGACTGTAACTCAGTTAATTTTACAAATGTGGAACTATAGTTTGATGCGATAGTGACCAAGAGTCATTCCCATCACTCAACAGATTTAACAATTTCTTTGTTTAAAACTTTTAACATGCAAGGTGGTGGACACTGTGTTCTAAGGTATGCTAGTTTCATTAAAAATGTCCAAGTAAAAGTCATTGTTTAGCATGAGCATCTGAGGTGAAGCAATTTCCAGTTTGCATAACGTTTAGATTTTTATGGTCAGAGTCAGGGTGCATGCGAGAGAGTTGGGGCTAATCCCAAACATGGGACAAAGCTAAGCCGGCTCATTCAAAGTGGGGAAAAGGAGGTAAGCACGCAAACACCTCCTGATACAAGAACTACAGCACAGGCGGCATTTCTCTCAAAGCTTTGATCTACATGTCTATCCTGACTTTATAAGGAAACTGTTAATTTAATTAAAACCTGTTTGAGCACTATCAGACACCAAACATTCTGATAAAAACAACAAAACATAAAAACAATGAATGTACTGAAACATGTTCAGTAATCCAGGTAGATAATTCTAACAAGATTGAGTCAGATCCTCTGGACCACTTTTTTTGTTGAAATGTTTTGTCTTTTATCCAAAAGACTGTCAGTCTGAGGAAGTGCAAGTAGGCCTGTCACAATAACAAATTTTGCTGGGCGATTAATTGTCTCAGAAATTATTTCAATAAACAATAATATTGTTTGAAATGTAACAATAATTAATTGCCAAATTTTAGAAGAAATGTTGATTTGTTTGGAGTGTAGTACCTTTTTTGACTACCTGATGGCAGTATAAGACTGTTTGAACCATTTTTTTTTTTTTTTTCATTTACCCTTTATTTATCCAGGTTAGTCTCATTGAGCCACGAGAACTCATTTTCAAGAGAGACCTGTTTAGGGAGCACATGGTGGGGGTTAAGGGCCTTGCTCATGGGCCCCGAGTGGGGCGAATGAGGGTGGGGGCAAGTATGAGTGTTTCACCTACCCCACCCACAATTTTGATGTTGTCGGGGTCGGGGCGTGAACCGGCAATCTTCGGATCACAAGCCCACCTCTCTAACCTCTGCGCCACCATGGATAGTTGAGCAGCGTGTCTCTTTAAGAAAAATGGGAGGGAGGGACCTTGACGTGACATGGGCTGACATGGTGACATGGCGGACGCTCAGTGATTTGAGCTCTTTAGCATAGCATTTTTCACACAAAGCTTTTAATAAAAAAGCAGTAAACAAGTTCTCAGCTTCTTTTTGAAGAGGAAAAACAACTTTTTACAAGAAGGCACGGGTGTCAACCGTGAATTTTGGAGCTTCGACACGACATAGGTTTATTCCCGAGGTTGGCCTTTTAGCTTAGCTCGTAGCTTAGCTTCTCAGCTTAGCTGCTTTCAACGATCCAAAAATGCGATTTTGGACGGTTAAATTTTGGACGGTTAAAACAGATTTTAAAGAGAAAAGCGAAAGGGAGGAGTCAGTGAAGAGCACCGGAGTTGAGCCTTTTGTCATTCAGTGTCTTCAGAAAGAGAGAGACACGAAGAAACGATAAAGCCGATAAATGAAAATGAGGTCGATAATTTTCATTCATCATGCAATTAATCGATTTATTGTTTATCGCGACAGGCCTAAGTGCAAGCAGTCTTATAAGCAGCACCTTCTCATGGTGGATCAATCAGTTTGCTGGAGGACCATCAGCCTAATGACAGTGTTAGTGCCCTGATAGCTGCTTGCTATTCACAGAGGGCTGAGTGATACTTGAAGTAGCATTGAAAGAGGGTGACGGTTGAACATGGAGGCCTCCACCCCATTTAACAACGGGCGGATTCTTTTCACAAAGACGTATAAAACCAGTTTAATAATATACTGTATGTTGTGAATGACTCTCAGCTACTACCACACCAGATTTTAGCTCAGTAGCTGTCAGATTTTGGAAATACAGATTTTTTTTTTTTTAAGTCTTGGCTGTGACAGCCATTTTGAACTAGATGGCTTCAAAAGTTTATTAGTTGTAGATGTACATCCAATGTTCATTTCCCAAAGGTTTTATCACAAACTACTAAGTAGTTCATGAGATATTTTGCTAACAGGCAAATGGGGTGTACTCCAGCAGTTAGTAATAATGTTTTAGGCAAAGAGCTTGCACAATGAGCAGCACTTGGAGTATGTGTTTTGAAGGACTTTCAGCTACAGCCACACCAGATTTTAGCTCAAAAATCTGTAAAATTCACTGAATTTATGCCATTTCTGTGTTTTCTAAGGTCAGTTGACTGTGGCGGCCATATTTAATGAAGTTGATGACGAAAGTTAATCAGTTGCAGAGATGTTTACCCGTTAACTTTCATAAAATTGTCATTATCATAGGTCTTTTGGTTTGTTAGATTTTTAGCTAAATATCTATTAGCAAAACTGTTAACAAATCTTGGCAGTAAGTGCTCAGAGTATTTGTAGGGAATCAATCTCAGCTACTGCATCACCAACTTACAGCTCAATATCTGTAAAATTGACTGAAATACATCCAGTGTGTGTGTATAAGTTTAGTTGGCTATGGCAGCCATATTGAATCAAGTTGACCCCAAACGTTAATCACAGATGTGCATTCAATGGCTACTTTCTGCAAGTTTTATTAAAATACATCCTCTGATTCTTGTGCTACGTTGGTAATAGACCAACACAGACTTGAGCAAAGCTTACAGTATCATCCACCTTCATTTTTCACTTCACACTCTTTGATGAGATGTCGGTACAAGCACAAGTTGCTGATATGTGCATAACATGTGCAACATGAAGCAGTGTAACCCCTCTCTTTTTCCTGTCTGGGAATAAACCAATATAAAATGTTAAATGTTTTTTTCAGAGACTGGAAGTTTGCTGCTGTCTTTAATGATTTTTTTCCCCTTTTGGTGAGAATTTGTCTTTTTGGATGTGTTCATGACTGAGTGGTGTGGCAGGAAGAGCCAGTTTCTGAAGCCAGTTCAAAGATGATTCGAGCAGCCAACGCCCTGTTAGCGTCATGCACCCTTGACACTCCACAGACATGCAGCCTGCAGCAACACTATCTGCTTACATAACAGCCTTGTCTTATGAACTTGCTATGGTTATTAATCTGCACACTGGGGGCCTGAGCTGTTAAAGGTAGAGAGTGAACTGTGCTCTAAATCATGCTCTTCATTCACTGGAACTTTAGTACAACACTAAGTTCATGCTCATTGGTTGTACAGTAGGTGTACAACCGTAGGTTTTAGGTCAATTATTTTGCAGTGTTTTTATATTTTCTCATTAGTTTTTGACTAACCTTAAGTTTGGTGTGGTTATAGCTGAGACTGATCCTCAACACACTGTCTGTGTACTAACACATTGAGCAGGACCATTGTTTAAAATGTTGCTATTACCTATTTGCTGTCAATTGTCTGACTCTTAGCAAAAAATCGTTGGTTATGTAGTGTAACCCCAGATTCTATGAATATAGGCATAGCCCTTTAAGGCTGTCGCTTAG